CACACACACACACACACACACACACACACACACACGTAACAAACACACACACATACACACACACACACGCACGCACATCTTCGCAAGTAAATATACTTATGCGTGTGTCTCGAGATAGGTTGCAGTTATCGGAAATTTTGTATATTTAAATATTCAGCCTCTCCTACAACTATTTCAAAGCATTAGAACTCCATAAAGCCTTATCGGCCAATACCATTTCCCCATTAAGTCAATCTTTTATTTTTCTTTGTCTCCCGTTTTCTCAAAGCGTGATTTTTCTACACTTTAAAAAAAATACCTCTAGCATTTTACATCCTATCTTCATAAAATTCTCACAGAAGGAAGAGAAAATGTAATACTAAAACAAAACATTATCAGTTGGATTTTTCATATATGGAATAGATTTTTGGTGGTGGTGTCTGGAGTGTGGATTTTTACGGATTTTTTTTCAACCTTGAATACTACATTAGGAAAACAATTTGTAATTCGTTTAGGAAAAATTCAACAACAAAAAATTGTAGATCTAATGTTTGCTAATAGGCATACAAAAAAGTAATCAATTCCTTGAAAAATAAGAACTATGTGCCATATTCATTACGCAAGACATGTTAACAAATCCAATATTCCAGCCGTATCCATTGGAACGGAAACTATTATATCAAATTTAATTGCGGATTACAAGACTCCTTTCTATGCTTGTAACATGTGTGAAATTTTGTCAAATTTGATCCCCTAATAAGCGAGATAGCGATAGCCTTCAGATGTTTAACCATTGGTGAAGTATATGTTACCAAAATAATTAACTTAAAAAAAAAATTTGACTTGAATATTACAAAATCATTTCAATGTGTAATTAAAAATAATTAAAAATGTGATTTTTAATGGAACTAAATATTTAATAGGTTACGACATTTCTGGCATTTTCTTCACCCCATTGTTCAAAAATAGTTTTACCGACAACTGGGTATCGTGCCCTACGTTATAGAGGGGGCGGTTGGTGAGTGGCATAAGCAAAT